AACAATAGGGGTCCCCAGTTGCAGGCAAATAAACACTTGTGTGTGTGTGTGTGTTAAAGCCATTGGCTTGTGATGGAAGCCTTTCCAACCACAATACTCACTAGTCCCAGCTGTGGGCGATTATGAACAAAGCCATACCTACCTTTTTTTGGGGGGGGGTTGTTTCAATCTCCGCCATGAGTGCCCATGAATCTATTGTACAGGTGGCAAACTATAGGCTCTGCACCCCTGTTGAGTTGATGCACAGGGCCTAGACAGGTGTTTGTTGGAAGAGCATTCCACCTGAGAAACAAAGGCTGCTCTCTGCATTTTTTTCCTGCAGATGATTCCCCAGATGATTCCCCTGGTGTCAGGGTTGTCCTGTACTGCTCTGTTGGCTACCGATCGTCTGTGTTGGCTGACAAACTCCAGCAGGCAACAAAGCCAGACCCAGCATACAAACGTAAGACGTTAGGTATCCTCTGTGCAATTAATCTGGAATGAAGGCAGCCATACCTGGTAATAGCTCTACACTAGCGTGCATCTTGCACGCGGCAGTCTAAAACTGGATGTGCCCATGCATTTTGGCAAAGTTAAAACACTACATTGGTCAGAGGAATTTTACATACAAGTGTGACCAGCACAACAGCAATGCAGTACTGGCTTGTACTTTTTGGTCTTGAGAATAATTTGTCAGACCCTACCATTTTAGAACGAGGCAGGATGATTGCGTACCAGTGGCAAATGGGGGATTCACACTTCCAGCTTTGGAAAGTGGGAGATGAGGACTGAGGAAGGTCTGGTCGTTTATCTATCCAGGATATTGTTATTTAATAGTGAACTTTAGGACCTGTTTGTTTCACATGAATCAGGAGCTTGATCAGCTCTCCCAGGGCTGCTTCATTCCATCCATTAGGTAAGCTCTGATGTCAATGAACCCCTGACGAAATACTGATTGAGATTCAGATCCATGTGAAACAAACAGGCGTTTATATTCTGTGTGTTTTGTTTTGGTTTTTTTGCCATTACAACTCTACTTAGGTATTAAATCCGATGTATAATTGAACCTTGTTAATAAGAGCACTGTTAATACAAGATTCTCCTTATAACAAGAAAATTTGTTAAGTCCCAATCCTTTGTTTTTGTTGTTTTCATTCCTGATAATACAAGGTTTCTGTTATAACAAGGTAATTTGCCAAGTCCAAGGGATGAGGTTAGACTGTACAGTAATGTTGTCCTGCTACTCAAGTTCCGGATCTTTCAAAATCATTACTAAAACCAGGTGCTTGATTTTGCCAGATCAGTGATCTGTTTCTTCAAAAGCTAGCATTAGTTTGATAAAAAAAGATGACCAAGTCAGCAAGATGTCTGTGTTATAAACATCAAAAGCAACACCACAAGTGCAGCATTGATGAGTTGAAAGCAATATATAAGCCTAGTAAGCAGGGACATCTTAGGCAGTGTCAGCATACCAGAAAATTGTTAAGTAAGCATGCACATGGCAAATAAGAAAGTCAGGATGTAAGAAGGATAGGCAGTTGAACTCTGACATTTGCTGCTTCTCACCTTTCCTTAGATTGGCATTTCTTCAACTTAGAGGGCAGCCTTTTCAAGTGGGCCAATGAGAACCGACCAATGGTGGACCAGCAGGGCCTGCCAACTGATAAGATCCATCCTTTCAACAGTCTTTGGGGGAAGCTCGTCGACAAACATCGTTGGAAATCTACCCCATGATGGTTTCACAACTGTCTGCGATGAAGCTTCCACTCTGATGAGCTGCTGAACACATTAGCTCAGCACAGAAAATGTTTGCACAGCATTGAGCAGGTAAAGATATCTTGCACTTTGTATAGCTCATGGCTAATTTCCAAGTGAAACATTACTTCCAGACTGCATTCGATTTGACACTCATGTACATCTTGTAGGCCTGGCCTAAGGAACTGACCCACCGAGCCTGTTTCTTGGAAATCCCTACCATATAAGGCAAAAACATGGCAACTGGAATGATGTACAGGAAGGATGGAACAATGCACAGGAAAATTGATACCACTGTAAATGATTAGAAGAACTGTTGCTCACAGAGGCAAATTTGCACAAGTCTTTGCTCATTTAAAGTTCTGTGAATTAAAGGCCTGAAATGTTGATGTCCGCTTTAGGAAAATCACTGTTGTCCGTAGAGGGCACTGCCAACAACTGATTATTAGTGGGGTTTTTCGGGCAAGGAGACAGACTGAAGTAGCACTGGACCCCTCAATTCCCTCCCCCTCAAAGATGATAGTACCATTTTTAGAATGCTGGGGTTTTCAATTAAAAAAAATGTCGTGGGGGCCCCTGCCCCCTACCCCCTACCCCAGGATCTACCAAGGGTACCACCGTAGTAATGGCTTTTTTATTTCTCACTTTTGGTTTCTGAAGACCAGTGAACTACATGTACGTCTGTTACACTGCAAGTTGTACTGGTTTGGGAGAGGGGTAGGATCATTGTATTCATGATGCAGGACACCAGTTGTTTACCGCATGTTACATTAGTTATGTTTACAGTTCTTGACCTTTTGTGGCTGTTAATTGTAATTTTGACAACCACTTACAGTGGTAAGTTGTTATGTGTACATAAATGTATATGGCATATTCAAGGGAAAGGTTTGAAGTAATTTTGGATATTTATATCTTGTTGAAAGCTTGGCATAAATCGTGGCACATAAGTTTGCAGGACAACTCTTTTTTTGAATTTTTCATCTTGTGTATGGTATAATGCTATGTTATTTTGATATAATTTTGAGGTTTTCAGGTATATGCTTGTGTTTTCTAATGTAATGCCTATTTTAAAGTTTGCAGGCTCGCGCAAATTGGTGACAATGCGGTTAATTCAAAGTGTATTTGTAGTAAATTTGTATGTTTGATTCAAGAGGCACAGTTGTGATTTTTTTTAATGCACGACTGTTTTCAACTGTGCATGACAGGAAGTCCAAAAAGCAAATAGTTCAAACGTAGCTCCTATTTGAATAAAACTTGCAATAATAACGCTATGTAGTAAAAAATCTGAAAAGAAATGATACAAATTAGCCTACCCATGAAATAGTTATCTACAAGGGACTGAGTCAAGTTCACCTTAAATTAAAATAATCAAATACTCCAATCCATTAAAATAAGATATAAACACATTAAAACTTAAAATATGCCATCTTATGCTCGTAGAATTGTGTCTTGAGAGATTTCTTGAAAGCAGTAATAGAACTTGAGTTGCGAATTTCCAATGGGAGACTATTCCATAGCTTGGGAGCAGCCATACAGAATGATCTATCACCAAGTATGCTGGGGGGACTTACATGTGGGAAATGTTCAATGTATTACCATTATTATTTGACTGTATCTCCTGCCGTAACTCTTCACAGATAGCAGATCAGAGATATAGGATGGGGTAAGTCTGTGGACAGCCTTGAAAGTAACGAGTAATTACTCATATATATATATATATATATATATATATATATATATATATATATATATATATATACCCTGCTATGCTGAAGTCACTCTTTGGGTCACTTGGTAAACACCTCAAAGAAGCACAGCTGTGTCGTGTTGTGCACTGCACCAACTTGCAAGAGAGTGACCTTGGGCACTGGTGCATATTTGTGCTGTAAAACTAAAGAAGGGTTAATGTAATATTTGTATTTTGTACTTTCTACTGTGTAAATACCTAAATGCTCTCACCTGTGACATAATTTGAAATACTTGAAAAAAATTGCAACCCTCCTTGTTACAGTTGAGGTTCTTTGGTTACTGTTTGAATTACAAATGTATATAAGATTTGTTGCAGACTGATGCAATGATTTCATGAAATTAACCCAGGCAGTTAGTCACATCTGTGTTTTCATACATATTCAGTTGGAATGAATAACTCACTGAAATCAAATGTCACCGTTTATCGCCCACCAAAAAGGCAGTCACAGTTTTTCTTTTTCCAAATCGATAGCACAATCAACTTCAGTCTACAGTTTAAGGTCATTTGTTGTCCTATGAAATAAATCAATTGGAGACCAGTGATTGGAGAGAAAAGTGGCGAGGCCATAACCTTCGCTCATTATCTTCCGCACTTCCAGGGCTGGCAAGGGCATATGCGTCATCCCATGCTTCACCCATAATCGTGAGAGAAATATGTCCGCACAAAGCATTATGGGTTACTACTATCCTCATTAACGCATGTATACTCATTGCATGTGTGTCGTGCATGCAGAAGTTTTGACCTGTGTTTTCATTCAATCCGTTTCTTTGCTCTGTGGCACAATAAGTCCTCAACAAAAAATGTGATCCGCTCTGCGAAAAAGGGTATTAAGGGACGCTTTCTTATTTCAGGCTAAGGGCTTTTGTATGTGGAGAGGGTGATTTTTTACTTGTTTGGTTTATTGGTTTCTGTTATATCAATAGTGTCATAATTCATAAAAGAAACCCAACTGTTGCTTTGAATATTCAAGAGACTTTCTTCTTGGCTGATTTCTTTTTCCACTTCCTGTGTTTAAAGGGCTTTATCTCTGAAAACAATTGTTAATGTGTATGATATGATTACACAAAAATCAGTTTATTACATCTCCAGATTGCAAAATGCCAGGGGTCAGACCTACACCAAATTAAACCTTTTAATGTAATCAATTCAGAAGTGTTAAACTCACTTTGAAAGAAGGGCCCATAATGCCCATTTTGTGGAGCCGGTCACAAATGTGTCACACATTTGCCCTCTAGCACCTCTGCAAGGGCACGGTAGGGGTGAGCAATGGCAAATGAAACTTAAAAGGTGACAGTCACTTTCAGTACAGAAGTATTAAATGGTAGATCAAAGAATCTTTTTCACAACACTGTAGAACATAGGTCATTACTTTAAACCAAACCAAACCAAACCAAACCAAACCAAACCAAACCAAACCAAACCAAACAACATGAAAAGTGAGATTCTGCAAGCTGTTGTGATCTTTTATTTTCAACTTTGTAGGCCTAACTAGGCGAGAACATTCGGGGTCTGTGAACAATGCATCATAAACAACATGCATGAATAAATTAAAAAAGCAAAGAGTGGAACAAATCAATAACAAAAAACATTAACAATAAACCATCACAAAAAAATGAATACGTGTATAAAATTTGGAAAAACAAAATAATGGCCATATCTGGATAATAAATTTATGTTAAAGTGCTATCAAGAAAAAAATCCATGCAATAAATAAAAACATTAACAAAATAAATAAGTGCTCATGAAAAGCAAACAATCTTGATATAAATAACACTAAAAAGTTTGGCAAATGCAGTTACGAATACATGCATTGATTACACTAATAAATATGTGAATAAATGACAGCAAAAAATTTTTGAATAATAACTCAATTAAGTGGCATGATCAAATATGCCTCTACGTAGCCAACTGGTCTAGACATTACTCTTATGGAATACGTTAGTCAACACTTGGAAGACGTACAGCGAGCAACTTGGATATGACTGGCTGGGGGAATTCCTCCACCCCTGCCAACCAACCTATCTCCGAGCCCGAGGTCTCGCTAATAAGTACGCAGTGCTTAAACAAGTACAACCTTCAACCAGTCCACAAACTGGGACACGTCAGCATAGACTCCGGGGATGCCGACCTGGGCACAGCCGATTCCCCAGCTTGTGATGCCTACCAGATACCAACGATGTGGGGACTGCGGGTCGGAGGGGTCATCGGGTGCTGTACAGACAAAAGGGCCGCCCGAGTCGCCCTGTAGGTAGAGAGAGTCCACTTTCAGTGAATGATACAAATCAGTTAGGCATTTCGGAGGGTAAAATTCTGGAGTGTAACCTATAGCTACCCCATCCTCAAGTGGCAGGGCCAATCATTTCACTGACATTCTGTGACATAAGTTTGCTCTACAACTTTGGGGAAAAAAGAGACATTAGCCAGCATCTCATGACTGTTTGTGATAGGTTGCATCCTTACTGCTCACCTGACAGGAGTCTGTCCCTCCAAGACCCGGATACCCTGCGCACAACATGTTCTGGGTGATGGAGTAGCCGTAGTACTCCCTGCAGGCCTGAGCGCTGATGAAAGGCACATAAGCTGCCTGGAGTTTGCTGGCAACAGAGCCGCCTTCTGCAAACATTTGCAAAGGTTGAGAAGAAAAGGACAAGGTTTACATGTAGTGGGTGTCACGGTTATCTGTCTGCCCCACCATCATTGAATGTTCCTATTCATGCGACTTAGGCCTATACGAGTGCGTTTTTTAGGCTCGAGACTTAATTGGCTGAGGTGTGACAATATAAGTATGCCGAAAGGTCAACAAAAGAAGTCAGCTAAACTTTGGGTCAACACACCATGCATCATGTCATTAAAACTACATCTGAAGTCACATTGCCCCCACTAGCAATTGACCTAGGTTAGGTTTCAGCAGGAAAACAAAACAAAAACAAAACAAGAAGAGAAGTGGGTGATAATTAATCAACTTTTAGCCTCCCGGTATTTTTGGCAAGTTCAATGACAGTTAAAACTCTTTGGTATTTAACGTATTGCAAATGAGTAAAACTGTGAATGTTTCATGTTAAGTAAACGAGGAATCTTAGTGAGCCAGATAACTGCAAAGACTTGCCTTCAGTCAATCCAAATCCCGAAATGTAACAGTTGGAGGAGGAACTGAATGTCTTTTCCATGGGCAAATCAATGCACACACTGTTGATGGCGCTGTTGGATAGGTCCACAGGGGTGGACAGCACAAGGACGACAATGTCGTTGTCAAATGTCAGACGGCCGTACGGCTGGTTTGGTGGTCGGAGGATATTAACCACGTTGCTCTTGTGTATGCCTGGTCCAAAGCGGTCATACGTGCCAAGATTTCCGAGGCGAACTTCCCACCTATTGGGGTTATCCTTTTCACTGTGTGTGGGATTGAGGAAGAGCATTGAGGCAAGTTTGGAGGTATTGTGCAACTTTGTGTCAGTAAAGTCTTGGTTATATTTACCGCATAATGAATACCAGTGTGGCTTGTTAATAGCTGCATCCAGTTACTATGCTCATGCCGTTGCCGTCAGCAGCCCCAACTTTCCAGTAATGCCAGTATAAAGACTTTTCTGAGTTGAGCTCAGAATAAATTCAGTAATTCTCCAGATTTATCTGGAACCCAGGACCTCTGCTTTGCACTGAATGTGAGAATGCTGTGCATTCGGCCATACAATCCCATCAAATCATGTGGGGTTTTGTAAGTTATCGCTTTTTCTTAGACTGTTGGACCCATAATGCCCACAAATAGCTGAAACATTCCTTTGGGTAGGGATAATTATATGCAGACGTGTTTCATAACGCAAAATTAGTCTTATCTATAAGGTTTCATATCTCTATAGGGTTCTGCTGAGGCAGACTCATAATTCATCGTTTGAACACAAACAGTGAAATCTAACGTACAAAAAATTAATTATAAATTATAAAATAAATCGACAAATCCATTCTTGGTATGAAACAACCACCAATGCAGATGGCATCTCGTAGGGCATTCAAGGAAAAAACTAAAATGTGTTTAAATTTTGCAAATTCGCAATGTAAAAACGCTGTGAACGCATCAGTGCATTACATTGTGTAAACTGGCCCTCAGGGTCACATTCTCAGACTCCAAGTTGAAATCTTTTTATGAATTTACGGCGTGAAGTTTCCGATGTGATGCCTTGAAACTGCATCCCACGTGCGCACTCACACCAGTTATGAAGGAATCTACCCTTACTCTTCGAAACAATGAGCCGCACTGATGACGTATCTATCTTGATACAGCGTGCCGCCACATTTGAAGCCCCCGTCGAACAGTAGCTGGGCCTGCCATGGCCATTCGCCCTCCTTCGCATCTTTTCCCCCAACGATACGCCCTTGAGTTACTGCACTATTGCGAGTACCGCATCCTGAAACTAGTGTGCAAGGAGGATAAAACAAGACCTGCATTACTAATCAGCAACACTTGAGAATCAGATAATTTGAAACAACATAGTTCAGGATAGTGTATGATTTATTTAATCATTTATTGAGCGCAAATTCCATACATTTATGTCCAAATGTGCTGTAGGATACAACATTAAGCCTATAAGAGATTACTGTTTGTATACCTGAACGTGGTGCGGCCCCTGCCTTACGTGCATGACGCACTTTTATTTGTCACTCCTTGTCTTTTAACGAAGCAATATTTTAGGCTCAAATATCCTAATTAGAGAAACTTCATCAAACTACTCCTATCCAAATCTCAATTTTAAGTACCTGCTTCCAAGTTTGGATGAGATTTAATTTTTGCCTGATTTTCAGATTTTTTTCCGATGTGCAAGATGAACTCTTTTAAAATGTGCCCCAAAACAGGAAACGACTTTTCTGACAAACTTGTGGATGAGAATTTGATTTGAAGTAATAATGCTTTACAAGAAGTTATCAACTTCAAAGGATTTTGTAAATGATTACACATGTATGTAGGATTTTTGACATTTTTTTCACTGAAGTGCACCATGTTAGGGAACATTCAGCTGAATTCGAGCCCAATTTCGGGACACCGACAGTTTGGATTTCGAACGAAATTTCACAACACTGAAATTGTTCACAAAGGTTTTACACCATGTATCATGAAGCTAATCATACTAGTTTTTAACCAAATGAGTTTTAAGTTTTCAAAAAAGAGGTTTGGCAACGCTGTATGAAGAAAGTCAAGTGAACGTCGAAGTGCACCACAATAGGGGACTCTACTACATGTATATACATGTACGTAATAGAGACAACTCGGGGGGAGGGACTCGATCACTCACACTAACCCAGACATTTCTATTGGAGGGGGTGCAGTTTTGCCCCCTGCACGGTCTTGTGAGCTTCTTTACATTGAGGTAGCCTTACTAAAAAAAAGCCTCTGAAATGTAGACCCTCCACAATTTCTACATGTCCCGCAAATCAAATCAATATGTCATCCATCCACAATAGCCCAGCCACTGTGTGTCGGTTTTGCAACAGACCTCCATTCAAAACTTGTTCCACTGCCTTATTTGGGGCGCTGGAAAAATCTTGATTCATACTGAGCGCCTTGGAAACTGAATCAACTAAAGTATTCTTTTGCCAGATGTCTTCTGTTTGGTTTGGTTTGGTTTCCAAGTATGGCGTACACCCACAAAGCAACGGAAGTAATTATTTCATGCTTGATCAATGGAGTTGTTCACAATTTTCCGACCTATATCAAAAGAGGCAACTGACAGGGCCTGGGAAACATGGGTTTTTCCCTTGAATATTATGTCCGATTTTCACAAATTGATACAAGAAAACAATCCTGAAGGCTTGACCCAGAACAAAATGCACCCCAATGATATCAGAGAAAATGTTGGAGGGGTGCATTTCGTCCCAGGCTCTTTGAGGTCGGGTTTAACTAAAGGTACAACATGACAGAGGTAACTGAACCTAGGACACTGTGGTGACGAAGAGGCAATCGCATGATGTTTTTAATATGCATCACCAGCACCACTTTACAGTACATTATAGAGGTTTTCAGGTGACGTACACATGACGAATAAAAGTATTTCAAGAAAGCGTACATTTTTGAATGTGTGTATTTCTTTGGCAGTTTCATGCACACCAGACTGTTGAGAGACTTCAAAGGCGCGCACACGTCCGCGGACATCTGTATAAATTGAATGCTGACCATCAAATCACGTTACTGAAAATCCTCTATAGAAAATCTTTAGGCAGTTTTTCCTTTTAAAGGATACTAAACACATGCTGCAAGGGAGTCACAATGTTACTTGTAGGCCTATATGCGGACTTACAGGCTTCATTGGGGCAACTAGAGCCATGGCATTTCTCCACTTTGGTCTCGTCTGCCTTGGTCGTGCAGCTGCTCGTATGGCACACGCATTGCCTGACCATGCTGCGAGTACCCGCCCCACACGCGTTACTGCAATCCGACCAGTCACTCCATTCACCCCACTGGCAGCTGGATGGCTCTGGGGGTGGAGGTAGTGCTGGAGTGGTCTCGGCTGATTGGGTAATAGCTGTGGAAATGACACTACGATTGAGTCGTGTTTTAGTGTGATTCCGGCACAGGCGGAGGGGGGGAAGGAGGCAACCCCTCCGGGAAAAAATTTGAAAAATAATAAAGGCGGAAACAAAGAAAAGAAAAACTGAAAATCAACACTTTGCTCGAACTGACCTCAGAAATGCCCCTTTTGTTGCTGATGAGTGCTTTCCCCTCCGAAAAGACATGACAATGCCCATGAGTGCTGGTGTAGTATTTTTTGCACATCGGCCATGATTGCAAACTGGATGCTGACATTAAGCCTGTCCTTGACGACTGACAAATTACCCACAACTGTCACTGTGGCTGTATATGAGTTGCATTTTAACCTCTCCGATTTGATTAATTAGACAAATAAAACCACTACCCACGGAAGTTGCAAGTTCTTAGGAAAGTGTGATTGTGAAAATGGATCACACCATTTTATAACCTGAGTGGGGAGGGGCACTCCCAGAATCTCATCGACTTCTGAGCCTCATATCGTACATACCTCCACATGACACCTCATCACTTCCGTCAGAGCAGTCTTTGTAATTATCGCACACATACCCTGACCACACCTTCCACCTACGGTCTTCACATTGGAAACCTTGGGTACAGGGAATAAATACAGGTATTCATTAATCTCATCAACCTCTGTTTGAAAATTATTGAATTTAATTGTTTGGTTATTATAAATTTCTTGCCCTTTGGGGGGGTTTGCGTAATGCTTATGTTGACTGTTGGAGCCCTTTGACAATTACTCACAATCGATTTCGTCCCTTCCGTTGTAGCTGTCGACTACGTTGTCACAGACCAGTTCATATAAGACATCGTACTGACAGTCCCCGTTACAGAAGTCCAGCTCTCCCGTTTTACTTCCTATAAACAATACAAAGAAATGACAGGCACAAGTACGTACATACGGTGGGGGCGTAATTCCTGGGGATGATGGGATATGTCTTTCCCCTTTTTGATGGGCTACTGGATTATCCCCTTTCACGTGGTGAGAAAAAAAGGCTAGGATTTTTAGGTATTTATTTTATCTTCCCAAAAGACTACAAATTAGTACTAAAGTTTACAAAAATTCTGCCGTTTATAAGGTTAAAGGTTCTAAGTACACATAGCCGTATAGCTATACACGTTTTTATTTAAATCATTCCTCATCCCCAGTCGTCGCTACCAAACAGTAGGGCGGTGTGGTAAGGAAAAATGCAGAAAGGTGCAGTGCAGTAAGTTGTGGTGCAGTGCACGGTAAGGTAAGATGCTGTAAAGTAAGGTAAGGTGAGGTGAGGTGAGGTAAGGTAAGGTACAAGGAGTGGTAAGGTACAAAGTGTGGTAAGGTGAGATGAGGTACAAGGTGTGGTAAGGTAAGGTACAAGGTGTGGTAAGGTAAGGTAAGGTAAGGTAAAGTAAGGTAAGGTACAAGGTGTGGTAAGGTTCAAGGTGTGGTAAGGTAAGGTAAGGTACAAGGTGTGGTAAGGTAAGGTATAA